TGGCCCACGCCTTGTCTAATGTGAAATAGATCGGACTTAAAACCAGCAAAACTTACACATGAATGCATTGAACTATAGGATAGGCGTAGTATCCTCCAGAGTTTCCAAGTTATTCCAAGATTGTAGAGAGAGAATAGACCGTCAAGCCAAACACGGTCAAATGCTTTCTCGTTATCAAGGAAAGCACAGTAGACGGGTGAATCCTTTTCGTTATAGTATGCAATACTTTCTGCAAGAGTGAGAGCTGCTGTCTCAGCACTAAAGTCTTTTCTAAAGCCAAACTGGAAGTTGTGGGGAAACGTTATATTCTCAGCTGTCCACTTTTCAATTCTGTTAAGGAGCAATATTTCAAACAGTTTACTGAGAATCGACGTTAATGTTATTCCCCTGTAGTTGGAGGGGTCAGTTTTACTTTTACCGTGGCCTTTATGCTGGGGCAGAATATGGCCAACATTAAAAGCTTGTGGGATGTACTCGTATATGATGATATTGTTGAACAATGTCATGATATGCTTTATGAGGGATCTACCTGCATACTTGACATGTTCATTAGCGAGTCCATCGGGCCTTGGGGCTTTGTTACTTTTTAGCCTTTGGACGACAGCTATAATCTCGCTGAGATTGAATAGTTCATTCAGCGGTGAATACATGTCTCTTTCACATATATTTTTACTTTTCTCAAGACATTCAATATTTGATATTGACCGCTCGATTTCTCCAGCAAAGTGATTATCAAAGCTACTTTCCAAGTTTGGTACAGATAGATCCTTGAAGTACTGACCAAAAGTGTTACAGATATTTTCTGCATTATTGCTTGCATGATTCTTGTATACTATACTCGTTACTAGACCTGTAGCTCGTTTATACCTTTTTGTAAGCTTAAAATATTCATGTACGTCTATTTCCGCTGCTTGGTGGATTTCTTTCAGTCTATCATCTATGAGACTTTGCTTACACTGACGGTGTCTTTTTCTAAAGATACGTTTAGCTTCTTTGTATCTAGCGTAGTACACATTATTTCTGTCATGTCCTTTCCCATTCTCGACCCAGAATTTCCTTCTATTGCGCATATCATCATGCAGTTTATTTAGATTTTCTGCTTTCCAATATGGTTTCAGAAATGGTTGAAACCTTGATGACGGGATACTGATAGACGCACATGCATGTAGAATATCAGTTATGTGCTGATTGTACATTTCAATATACTGGGCATGGGACGAGGAATGAGGAAGGTCGTGTATATCGTAACGAAAGTAGTTTTCAGTTTCGTAACGATAGATCATGCGGTCGACATCAGATGCCTTTCTCCAGCTGAGCCTAGACCCACCATAAGACACGCATGGATAATCAATTTTAACACATACATGAATGGGTAAGTGATCTGACACATTGTATGATATGTTGGTATCAATGGTGTAGCCTATAACGTTGTGGATATAGTCATTGTTTATAAATACATAGTCTATCATCATTGTTCTCGTACTTGCACTTTTGGTTGAGAACGTATGTTTACATTTATCGTCTAAGGGCACGACTGAATACAGGTCGCGTTCGTCAAGTCTCTCTGGAGACAGTGAGATCGAGTCCACTTGGCAACAAAGTGCCTAATATCTGTCTTAAAGTCTCCAGTGAGTATGGTTTGACCATACTGTGAATATATATCATATAGGTTCATCACATAATGGAGTTGGTCGATATAAACACTATCCAGGACATTTGTGGAAGGTAGTCTTGTGCAAATAACGTAGGTAATACTACTGCTATGTTCTAGACTTACACCTAGCACCTGATCACTCTCGGGCGTATCTAGTATTGTCACTCTGCACCAGTCACCTTTACGCACAAAAACACATATGCCGCCTGAGCCTCTGTGGTGGGTTGCTGCGTCACTGCTACACTTACAGTAGACATCGAAATCGTCATGAATTCCGTTCACGAATGATGAATTGTGTTCATTGAGCCAATGTTCGGTGACGAAGAAGATGTCTGTGCTATCAAGCCTTGTACATAGTTCACGGGTTCCATGCATAATACCTCTGATGTTCCAGGCTGCAATCCGAAGCATGATAAGTAAGAGGGTAGTATACGACATGTTTGACATTATCGTGAGTTTCCGTTTTCAGCTCCTAATCTATCGTTCGAGTACCATGCACGGTTTGGCACCCATTCCCTGCAATGCACATTAGCAGGCCAGAACTTTTCATCCGATAGTACCACTTGAGCACATTGCGTTGGGACATTCAGTCGGATAGTGTAAGTTGGGTTTCGTCCTTCCCAATGCTTTAGAAGTTTCATGTAGCTAATTGTTACTCCCCTTTCAGATGAATAGTCCTTGATTGCATCTTTCAAAATGTCAAAAGGCTGTTCCGCCTTTACGTAAGATAGCACGAGCCTTTTGTGTCGGAAGTGTGAGGCTCCCGAGAAAGCCTTTCGCCACTGTTCTTTATATTTAACCGTCCTTGTACGTTTATCTTCACTTGAGATTTCGCGTGTTGCGTCATTATTCACGTTATTGTTTTTCTGGTCAGGTGACATCTCCTGTTTGGGTTGTTGCGGGCTAATTAACGACTTCTCGCCGTCACTTGGTTGGCTCTCTGGAATGCTGATTGATTCACAATGAACCGTCGCTTGGGTTGTAATTCTGTTTCTCGGTGTTCTGTGCATGTCATCGTAGCATGGATTTTTCACCGCTTCAGAGTACAAAAGCTTGTTTCTTGTGTTTATACAGTCAAGCTTCCCATCAATAGCACACGTTCTCTTGTCAATAGCCATTATTTTAGAGTCTACAATGTCATGTAGAGTTTGAACGTCATTGCTTTTACACTTCAAATCATCTCTTAGCATAGATATATCATGCTTCAGACTAGCTTCCCGAGATTGATTTTCGTGAGCTTGGATTTTCAGATATGCAATTTCCCTGTTTCTCTCTTCGAGGGCGTCTGTCATCTGACACATATCTTTCTCATATTTTTCTTGAAAGTTATCAACTTTATCAGATATCTCCTTGAAACGCCTGTTTATACTTTCGTGCATACACATAAGTTTTGTGAGGAAACATGACAGTGTGTCTTTTCCCTTCTCTGTATAGTTCTCAGTTGTATCGAGAAAGGTGATATCCGTATCGGATTTCGGTTTGTAGCGACTCGTGACCTCTGACTGTATGACATGTGCGGGTACAGACACATTGATGAAGCTGTATAACAGATATACATCTGATGCATATTTCATAATAACGCTCTTAGCATGACCACTTCTCTTCACTCTTTTGATTATGGATCCGTCCGGAAACTCTTTTTTTGTCATATTTTGCAATATTATACAGGGAAGATCTAATGTGGTTCAGTTCATTTTCCTCATTTTTGTACACCTCTATCAGTTTTCTTCACACGTATGCCTGTCATGTTCTCCAATCATATCATGAAGTTCTTTCAAGATACCATATTCGAATGAGGTTGGCCTCTGTGTTGAGTACGTTGGTGGCGAGTTTACGTTACATTATAATTTATGCTTAGTGCTCCGAGTACTAATATAATTTATGCTTAGTGCCCCGAGTACTAATATAATTTATGCTTAGTGCCCCGAGTACTAATATAATTTATGCTTAGTGCTCCGAGTAGTAATAAAATTTGTGCTTAGTGTCCCGAGTACTAATATAATTTATGCTTAGTGCCCCGAGAACTAACATAATTTATGCTTAGTGCTCCGAGTACTAATATAATTTATCCTTAGTGCCCCGAGTACTAATATAATTTAGGCTTACGGCCCCGAGTACTAATATAATATATGCTTAGTGCCCCGAGTACTAATATAATTTGTGCTTAGTGCCCCGAGTACTAATATAATTTATCCTTAGTGCCCCGAGTACTAACATAATTTATGCTTAGTGCCCCGAGTACTAATATAATTTAGGCTTAGTGCCCCGAGTACTAATATAATTTATGCTTAGTGCCCCGAGAACTAACATAATTTATGCTTAGTGCCCCGAGTACTAATATAATTTATGCTTAGTGCCCCGAGTAGTTATATAATGTGTCCTTAGTGTCCCGAGAAGTAACATATTGTAAACTTCGTGTCCCGAGTAGTAATATAATTTATGCTTAGTGCCCCCAGTACTAATATAATGCATGCTTAGTGCCCCGAGTACTAATATAATTTAGGCTTAGTGCCCCGAGTACTAATATAATTTATGCTTAGTGCTCCAAGTAGTAATATAATTTGTGCTTAGTGCCCCGAGTACTAATATAAATTATGCTTAGCGCCCCGAGTACTAATATAATTTATGCTTAGTGCTCCGAGTAGTAATATAATTTGTGCTTAGTGCCCCGAGTACTAATATAATTTAGGCTTAGTGCCCCGAGTACTAATATTATTTATGCTTAGTGCCCCGAGTACTAATATTATATGGTTAGTGCCCCGAGTACTAATATAATTTAGGCTTAGTGCTCCGAGTACTAATATAATTTATGCTTAGTGTCCCGAGTACTAATATAATTTATGCTTAGTGCCCTGAGTACTAATATAATTTATGCTTAGTGCCCCGAGTACTAATATAATTCATGCTTAGTGCCCCGAGTACTAATATAATTTATGCTTAGTGCTCCGAGTAGTTATATGATATACTCAGTACCGTGTCACCCAAGATCGGGTGGGCGGTATCGATAACTTGGTTTATGCATGTATAACACCTGTGCAGATCGATGCTCATTATATCGATCACATGATGTTCAGGCACAGGCTCGAATTTGTACCTGTTGGTATATATATTGGAATTTTGCTGGGTGCAGGCGAGTGAGTTTTACGCCGCTTTTAGCAATATTCCAGCAACATCACGGCAGTGGACACCAGAAATGGGATTCACACATTGTACCTGCATGGGGAATCGAACCGTGGGTCAACTACGTGGGTCTTCAGTGTGACTAACGATCGCGTTAACCACTAGGCTGTAGGTCTAGCCACGCATCAGATTTTACAAAATCATTCACAGAAGATGTGTACACACATGGTCTCGACAGCCATGATGATACACTTCCTCGTTGATGTGTAGCCGACACTGAATCATTCCGCCCTGTTCAACGAGAATGTAGAACACCACACTAAATTATCCTTGTAGCTCATATATACGACATTCATGCGTGGGATATAACGGAGTTGGGCGTGTTGATATTTCCGAGAAAGGTATGTTTGGTGAATTTGACTCAATCGTCTTGCAATGTTTACAAGAGGCGATATGGGGTTTGACGTTTCACGTTCAAGATTATTGCATTTATGTGTAGACGTAAATTGTCACACATAGGTGTGTGTGTGTGTGTGTGTAGGAGGTGTAGGAGAGAGAGAGAGAAAGAGAGAGAGAGAGAGAGAGAGAGAGAGAGAGAGAGAGAGAGAGAGAGAGAGAGAGAGAGAGAGAGAGAGAGAGAGAGAGAGAAAGAGAGAAAAGGAGAGAGAGAGACGGGGAGGGCGATTCAGGGAGAGGGAGAGAGAGAAAGAGGAGAGAGAGAAAGGGGAGAGAGTAAGAGAGCGAGCGAGCTGCCCAGTCCTTGTTATATCCTCCCTGTAATCTTAACGCCAGGTAGAGTAACACCAAGTCGTCTTTCAACGTTGTTTAGTGGGATGTTTCTGGGGATCCAGCCGCCGACCCTCCTCTCTCCGGGTAGACGCTGTGTCCCCTAGACGTGGCTGTCAGGTGCTCATTTAGCATATGGGACTTTGTCACATGGAGGTGTAGTGGTGGACGAGAGATGAGATGGTTAGTGTATAGAAACATTCTTTAACCTTGCCCGGATCCGATCTGTCTAACAATGCTCGGTTGTCAGCGCCATATCCCTGCCCAGGCGTCTCATCACTGTGGTACACATTATTCGACCTACATGCGATGTGAACCTTGATCCCACATCAAGCTGACACACCGTGATGCAGCTCAACGTGTCTTCAACTTCATTCACTCATTGTTTCTATCATATCACGGTAGAAGATGGTACGTGTTTTGTTTGAGTGGCCTTCTAGAAGATATGCTTAAAAACGGTATAAGAATCTATACCGAAACGTCGCCATTGTTAACATAAAAAAGTTGGTCATCCATAAAGTCTTGTCATCTGTATGGTACTTGTTGTCACCCTGCCTGCAGCTCAGCATTAAGAGAACAAAACAAGCTCTTTGTCCGTAAGCTGAAAGGTGGCCATATTCATATCAAGCATATCCCACTCAAAATCTCGCTCGCATTGTCACGGCATGTCCTAAACCCTCACAGATCACCATGACAATGCAGTTATCTTGAACGTGTCCATCAATGCCTCTCCTCGCTTGTATTTCATATATCCAGTCTTACCGACCAATCACTATACCGGTGCTGTATACGTTTAAATCAAATCATACAACACTTCCGGTTTCGTTGCTATGGTTTCCTGTATTCAAAGTGTAGGTGTACTGCCCGACCTATTGTTGTTATGTAGGATTTCCGGCGAGAGTGAGGGTAATATTTACATGCCTCATAAAACAAGCACAGTGCATGGGAGGTTCCGCACTGGACAGTCGGAATATACGGATACAAAATAAGGGCTAAAGTACACAGAAAGACATTAAAACAATCCTCACACATGTGTGAGACTTTTAATCATGAAGTGCAAAGGTTAGTGGGGAAAGCTCCCCATGGAAGTGTTCTCGGGGAGAGGGGGTTGGTGTGGTGTGTGTGTGGGGGGGGGGGGGCATCCCCGCATATACACACCCCACCCCACAACACAACGGTCCGAATGCAAAAGAATGGTTCACGTGCGAGACGAGCCTGTGTTGGAATCCCCTGAAACCCCGGTCACCTTGGTGCATGTCGACAGTGGGCTTCTGACCATGTGAATTGGACTGCACAAGATGAGTCCAGCTACTGCCTGATACTTTCTGATGTAAAAGTGTAGAGAAGACAGGGTTAACATTTAGCACACTATGATATTCTTGAACATCACAGATATAAAGGTGGCTCCATCATAGTGTGGGGTGGAATCAACTGGGACGGTGAATCCGATCTGTGTGTTCTTACAAATGGCACCGTGAACGGCATTCGATACAGAGATTCTTGATGTCCACGGCAGACTTTACGGAGGACCAATCGGGAATGATTTCATACTTGTGTATGTCAACGCTTGTCCACGTCGTGCAAGGGTCGTGAAAACATTTGTTTGGTGCTTCGTGTGCATTCGGTATTTTCAAGAACTTACTTGCACATTTTGCACGTGCTCATTGGGTTACCGCGAATAAAGACTTTGGAGGGTTTTAAAGTATGGGTACAAATGAATCAAATGAAAGAAAATGTCTACTTTTTAACGAAACAAAATATATTTTGTAAATATCAGCTCGACCGGAGTATAAGACAGATATATATCAACACTTTCTTCGATACCTCGAGACATATCGGCCGATACACCACGGAAAGTATGGGTACATCTGTTACCGACTCCTGCAATGGTCATTCTGTCATTCTGTCATATGTAGCATGGTTCCCGTAAACCAGGTTGGTTTGATCCAGTGCAACGCCAACCGTATTAATGCCATGCAAACAGTGTTGATGCGTTAATGTCATGCGGTATTAATGTCATGCAAACCTGTTTTGATGTCATGAAAACTGTGTCGATGTGTAGATGTCATGCGGGCTGTGTTAAAGTCATGCAGGCTCTGTTGATGTCAGGAAAGATGAGTTGATGTCATGTGGGCTGTGTTGATATCTTGCAGATTGTGTTGATATCACGCGGGGTCTGTTAATCTCATGCAGGCTGTTTTGATGTCATGCAGTCTGGGTTGATGTCATGCAGGCTGTGTTGATGTCATACGGGCTCTGTTAATGTCATGGTTCTATGTCGACATCATGCAGACTCTAATAATGTCATGCAGGCTGGGTTGATGTCATGCAGGCTGTGTCGATGTCATGCGGGCTGTGTTAATGACATGAAGGCTGGGTGATGTCATGTGGGCTGTTAATGTTTTGCAGGCTGGGTGATGCATGCAGGCTGTTAATGTCATGCAGGCTGTGTTAATGTCATACGGGTTGTGTTAATGACATGCAGGCTGGGTGATTTTATGAAGGCTGTGTCGACATCATGCAGGATCTGTTAATGTCATGCAGGCTGTGTTGTCATGCAGGCTTTGTTAAGGTCATCCAGGCTTTGTAACTGTCATGCTAGCTATGTTGATGTCATGAAAGATGTGGCAATGTCATGCAGGCTGTGTTGATGTCACGCAGGTTGTGTTGATGTCTTTCGGGCTGTGTTGATGTCATACAGGCTGTGTTGATGTCATGCGGGCTGTGTTAATGACATGCAGGCTGAGTGATGTCATGCAGGCTGTTTATGTTATTCAGGCTGGGTGATGTCATGCAGGCTGTGTCAATGTCATGCGGGCTGTGTTGATGTCACGCAGGTTGTGTTGATGTCTTTCGGGCTCTGTTGATGTCATGCAGGCTGTGTTGATGTCATGCGGGCTGTGTTAATGACATGCAGGCTGAGTGATGTCATGCAGGCTGTTAATGTTCTGCAGGCTTCGTGATGTCATGCAGGCTGTGTTCATGTCATGCGGGCTGTGTTAATGGCATGCAGGCTGGGTGATGTCATGAAGGCTGTGTCGACGTCATGCAGGCTCTGTTCATGTCATGAAGGCTGTGTTGTCATGCAGGCTTTGTTAAGGTCATCCAGGCTTTGTAACTGTCATGCTAGCTATGTTGATGTCATGAAAGATGTGGCAATGTCATGCAGGCTGTGTTGATGTCACGCAGGTTGTGTTGATGTCTTTCGGGCTGTGTTGATGTCATACAGGCTGTGTTGATGTCATGCGGGCTGTGTTAATGACATGCAGGCTGAGTGATGTCATGCAGGCTGTTTATGTTATTCAGGCTGGGTGATGTCATGCAGGCTGTGTCAATGTCATGCGGGCTGTGTTGATGTCACGCAGGTTGTGTTGATGTCTTTCGGGCTCTGTTGATGTCATGCAGGCTGTGTTGATGTCATGCGGGCTGTGTTAATGACATGCAGGCTGAGTGATGTCATGCAGGCTGTTAATGTTCTGCAGGCTGGGTGATGTCATGCAGGCTGTGTTCATGTCATGCGGGCTGTGTTAATGGCATGCAGGCTGGGTGATGTCATGAAGGCTGTGTCGACGTCATGCAGGCTCTGTTCATGTCATGAAGGCTGTGTTGTTGTAAAGCAGGCCCCGTTAATGTCATGCTATCTATATTGATGTCATGAAAGATATGTCAATGTCATACAGGCTGTGTTGATGTCTTTCGGGCTGTGTTGATGTCCTGCAGGCTGTGTTGATGTCATGAAGCTTTGTTGATGCCATGCAGTTTGTGTTGATCTCATGCGGGCTTTATTGATGTATTTCGGGCTTTGTTGATGTCATGCAGGCTGTGTTATCGTCATGCAAGCTGTGTTATCGTCATGCAGGCTGTGTTGATGTCATGCGGGCTGTGTTGATATCATGCAGGCTCTATTAATGCCATGCATGATGTGTTGATGTCATGCGGGCTCTGTTAAAGTTATGCAGGCTGTGTTGACGTCTTTCGCCCTGTGTTGATGTCATGCAGGCTGTGTAATGACATGCTAGCTATTTTGATGTCATGAAAGTTGCGTCAATATCATCCAAGCTGTGTTGATGTCATGCAGGCTGTGTTGATAATATGCAGGCTCTATTAATGCCATGCATGCTGTGTTGGTGTCATGCGGGCTCTGTTTAAGTTATGCAGGCTGTGTTGATGTCTTTCGCCCTGTGTTGATGTCATGCAGGATGAGTTGCTGTCATGCAGGCTGTGTTAATGACATGATAGCTATTTTGATTTTATGAAAGATATGTCAATGTCATGCAAGCTGTGTTGATGTCATGCAGGCTGTGTTAATGTCATGCGGGCTGTGTTGATACCGTGCAGGATGAGTTGATCTCATATATGCTGTGTTGATGTCTTTCGGGTTGTGTTCATGTCATGCAAGCTGTGTTGATGTCATGCGGGCTTCGTTGGTGTCATGCAGCATGTGTTAATGTCATGCAGGCTGTGTTCATGTTATGCGGGCTGTGTTGATGTCTTTCGGTCTGTGTTGATGTCATGCAGCTGTGTTGATATCATGCAGGCTCTGTTAATGTTACGCTGGCTGTGTTGATACCATGCAGGCTGTGTTGATACCATGCTGGCTGGGTTGATGTCATGCAGGCTGTGTTAATGTCATGCAGACTGTGCTGATGTCTTTCAGGCTGAGTCAATGTCATGCACTCCGTTTTGATGTCATGAAAGATGTGTTGATGTCATGCAGGCTGTGTTGATGTCTTTCGGGATGTGTTGATGTCATGCTGGCTGTTTTGATGTCATGCGGGCTATGTTTATGCCATGCAGGCTGTGTTGATGTCACGGAAGATGTGTTGAAGTCAACGGGCTGTGTTGATTACACGCAGGCTGTGTTGATATCATGCTGTCTTTGTTAATGTTATGCAGGCTGACTTGATATTATGCAGGCTGTGTTCATGTTATGCGGGCTGTGTTGATGTCTTTCAGGCTGTGTTGATGTCATGCAAGCTATGTTGATATCATGTAGGCTGTGTTGATGCCGTGCAGGATGTGTTCATCTTATACGTGCTGTGTTGATGTATTTCGGGCTGTGTTGATGTCATGCGGGCTGTGTTGATGTCATGCGGGCTGTGCTGATATCATGCAGACTGTGTTGATGTCCTGCAGGCTGTGTTGATGTCATGCAGTCTGTGCATATGCCGTGCAGGCTGTGTTGATGTCACGGAAGATGTGTTGATGTCATGTGGGCTGTGTCGATATCATGCACGCAGTGTTGATGTCTATCGGGCTGTGTTGATGTCACGCAGGCTGTGTTGATGTCATGCATACTGTGTTGATGTTATGCAGGCTCTGTTAATGTTATGCAGGCTGCCTTGATATCATGCATTCTGTGTTGATGTCATGCAGGCTGTGTTGATGTCATGCAGGTTGTGTTAAAGTGTTGATGTCATGCAGGCTGTTAATGTTATGCTAGCTATGTGGATAGTCATGCAGGCTGTTTCAATGTCATGCTGTCCGCATTGATGTCATGAAGATGTGTCAATGTCATTTAGGCTGTGTTGATGTCTTTCGGGCTGTGTTGATATCATGAAAGCTGTGTTGATGTCATGCAGGCCCTGTTATTGTTATGCAGGCTGCCTTGATATCATGCAGGCTGTGTTGATGTCATGCAGACGTATTGATGTCATGAAAGATGTGTCCATGTCATGGAGACTGTGTAGATGTCTTTCACGCTGTGTTGAAGTCTTTCGGGCTGTGTTGATGTCACGCAGGCTGTGTTGATATCATGCAGGCTCTGTTAATATCATGAAGGCTGTGTTGATGTCATGCAGGCCCTGTAATTTTATGCAGGCTGCCTTGATATCATGCAGGCTGTGTTGATGTCATGCAGTGTGTGCTGATGTCATGCAGGTTGTGTTAATGTCATGCACGCTATGTTGATGTCTACCGGGCTGTTTTGATGTCATGGAGGCTGTTAATGTTATGCTAGCTATGTTGATAGTCATGCAGGCTGTTTCAATGTCATGCTGTCCGTGTTGATGTCATGAAGATGTGTCAATGTCATTTTGGTTGTGTTGATGTCATGCGGGCTGTGATGATGTCATGCAGACTGTGTTGATGTCATGCAGGCCCTGTTAATGTCATGCTGGCTGTGTCGATATCATGCAGGCTGGGTTGATGTCATTGAGGCTGTGTTAATGTCATGCAGACTGTGTTGATGTCTTTCAGGCTGTGTCAATGTCATCCAGTCCGTTTTGATGTCATGCCAGCTGTGTTGATGTCATGCAGACTGTGTATATGCCATGCAGGCTGTGTTGATGTCACGGAAGATGTGTTGATGTCATGTGGGCTGTGTTGATATCATGCACGCTGTGTTGATGTCTTTCATGCTGTGTTCATGTCACGCAAGCTGTGTTGATATCATGCAGGTTGTGTTGATGTCAAGCAGGCTGTGTTGATGTCATGCATGTTGTGTCAGTGTCATGCTGTCACTGTTGATGTCATTCAGGCTGTGTTAATGTCATGCGGGCTGTGTTGATGTCATACGGGTCGTGTTAATGTCATGAAAGATGAGTTGATGTCATGCGTCCTGTGCTGATGTCATGCAGGTTGTTTTGATATCATGAAAATTGTGTTAATGTCATGCAGGTTGGGTTGACCTCATGAAAACTGTGTAAGTGTCATAAGGACTGTGGTGATGCCCTGCAGGCTATATTAATGTCATATGGACAGTCAGCATGTCCTCGTATCCCAGTAGCATATAATAGATGGATGCACATGTCAGTAACTATCCCCTGGAGAGTTTATAGACGGACGTCAAATAGCGTGAATATGACGATAAATAAGCAAAAACACATACTGTGTGATTCCTCAATAATAGGGGGCAAATACAATTACACCCCTTGTTTGTGCCAGGATCTGCTGCATGTGTTTTCGGATTGTTGAAAATAAGGAAGATATCTGTGCACCTAATTTAAGTTGCAAGCAAACCTTACAGTTTTCACCTGACACATACTTGAACATGTTGCAGTGAGCAACCCTGGGATGTGGATTGCGAATCTTGCAGTTTTCTGTCTCGTGCTTGTGAGTCAGTCATACAGTGAGTATGGATATTTTAAACTCGTAAAACTTCTTGGGGGCGCGGGTAGCACGAGGGAGCCGTGGGTTTTGCAGGGAGGGGGGCGAGTGTTAGATGGTGAGGAGGGCAGGGTTTGGTGGCGAGGGGGTCCTTTGTTTTTGGTGAGGGGTCTGTCCGTTAATGAGGGGGTCGTGTGTTGGTGGCGATGGGGTTGTGGGCTTTGGCGCGAGGGTTATGAGGTTTTGGTGAGGGGGTTGTGGGTTTTTGGCGCAGGGGTTATGAGTTTGGGGCGAGGGGTTTGTGGGTTTTGGGCGACTGTTTCGAGGGTTGGTGGCGAGGAGATCGTGGGGTGGTAACAAGGGGATAGTGGGTTGACAGCGAGGGTGTCGGGTGTTGCTGGTGGGAGAGTCGAGGGCTGATAGCAAGAGGGTCGTGGGTTCATAGCGAGGGTTTCGGTACAACATTCTGTCAGTCAGCGCATTATATACAGAATGAAAAACGATAATATTTACTGGAAGAGCGAGGGCCTCATCACGGTTCGAGAAACAACCATGTCTTTTCTGTGTGTTTTTTCAAGCACTGACACAAAAGTTTTGATTTTGTCGTACGCTTTTGTTCTTTTCATAATCACAATTTCGTTCAGTCCGTTTATCTAAACATGACTTACAAACAGTAAACTAGAAACACTTGGCGACGAATAGGATTCGATTTTTTTATGTAAAGATAAATCCATAGAAATTGTCTTTTTGCAGCAGTGGATGTTTAGTAATAGTAATTGTGTGATGTCTTTCTTCAGGTACACTTCATCTTAAAGGCGCCAGGTACAAATCTCACCGTTCAAACCGGATCGATTTGCTTTGTTCAAACGACGGATGGAGACCCAAGTTTTTGTACTATTGGAAACTGAATAACACAATAGTACTTAAGACAGTGCTTTTTCGAGCCCTCTATAAAGATCTCCAGTTTATTGACAAAGTACGAGTATACACAGGCTGGAATGATCATTATGTATACATCCAAGAATCCTCATCCATGTCTGACAGTTATAAATGGCAATGTGGCGATGATGATGATGATGATGATGGGGACTGGAGCAACGAAATCTGTCTGCCAGGTATGTAGTATGGGGAATATTCCGTTGTGAGCTGTGGCGACATTAATCAATATATCTTTAACACGTTCTATTTGGGATTACACTTTCTCAGTAAAATACAGATCTATTCTGGTACTTTTGTTGGGTTTAGTCGCATCCAGGATTCGATCCCACACTTTCAGAGTCGCGCACCTAATCGCCAGCATACACAGCCAGTCATCTAAATCACTCAGCCACCGCTGTTTCCACAAAAACATCTTACAACTGGTAGTCTAGACCACGGACTTTGTGTACCCCTCTCACGGCCTAAAGCTGTGAATACACAATGCCATTTATAGAAAGTGGTCAAATGTAACATATGTCATATTTGGGATTATACTTTGTCAGTAAAGTGTCAGTAGTCAATACTTTCTTGATCATAAGGACACAACTTTATGGATGAACAACTTCTCTATTCGGATGATGCGACGTTTCGATACAGATTCTTGTATCGTTGTCTAGTAAGTATGGATGATGCGACGTTTCGATACAGATTCTTGTATCGTTGTCCACTAAGTATGGATGATCCGACGTTTCGATACAGATTCTTGTATCGTTGTCTAGTAAGTATGGATGATGCAACGTTTCGATACAGATTATTGTATCGTTGTCTAGTAATTATGGATAATGCGACGTTTCGATACAGATTCTTGTATCGTTGTCTAGTGAGTATGGATGATGCGACGTTTCGATACAGATTCTTGTATCGTTGTCTAGTAAGTATGGATGATGCAACGTTTCGATACAGATTATTGTATCGTTGTCTAGTAATTATGGATAATGCGACGTTTCGATACAGATTCTTGTATCGTTGTCTAGTAAGTATGGATGATGCGACGTTTCGACACAGATTCTTGTATCGTTGTCTAGTAATTATGGATAATGCGACGTTTCGATACAGATTCTTGTATCGTTGTCTAGCAAGTATGGATGATGCGACGTTTCGATACAGATTCTTGTATCGTTGTCTAGTAAGTATGGATGATGCGACGTTTCGACACAGATTCTTGTATCGTTGTCCACTAAGTATGGATGATGCGACGTTTCGATACAGATTCTTGTATCGTTGTCTAGCAAGTATGGATGATGCGACGTTTCGATACAGATTCTTGTATCGTTGTCTAGCAAGTATGGATGATGCGACGTTTCGATACAGATTCTTGTATCGTTGTCTAGTAAATAAGGATGATGCGACGTTTCGATACAGATTCTTGTATCGGTATTTAGCAAGTATGGTATTATCGTAACGAAACGTCGCATCATCCGAATAAAGAAGTTGTTCATTGGGTAAAGTATTGTCCATCTCCAACTTCTAAACATGCCACTCGAAGAGGTTATTCTAGATGATATGCCACATAATGACTCTACAATAGTTAGGAACCAAAAGTAGTAGGGTCTGCAAGTTGTAAGTGGGGAATAATCTAGTTTCATCTACCATTACTTCAAGAGGAATTCACCCGTGAAGGTCCGGGTTAGAATGAGCCTTCAGTAACCCTTGCTTGTCTAACGGGATCGGGTGGTCAGGCTCGCTCACATCGGTTCCCAATATTGCGCATATCAATGCTCATGCTGTTGATCACTGGACTGTCTGGTCCAGACTCGATTATTTACAGACCGCCGCCATATAGGTGGAATATTGCTGAGTGCGGCGTAAAACTAAACTCACCTCACTCACTCACTCAAGAGGAATTCATTAGGGCTGGTTGGTATATTGTTTAACGCCGCACTCAGCAATATTCCAGCAATATGGCGGCGGTTGGTAAATTATCGAGTCTGGACCAGACAATCCAGTGATCAACAGCATGAGCATCGATCTACACATTTGGGATACGATGACATGTGTCAACCACGTGAGCAAGCCTGATCACCCGATCCCGTCAGTCGCCTTTTACGAAAAGCATGGGTTGCTGACGACCACTTTTAACTCGGATCTTCACGGGTCGAATTCACTTTGATCGTAAAATCTATGGGCATCATGAAGAAATATCTTACATCTTACCATAGTCTACTTCCTGCTACAGGTGGCACGCCCAGTGGGAAAGTCACAGAACTCATGATGACCGTCAGCGGTATGTTACCATCACCTGTCTTCGTCCACAACCAGCTGCACACAACTTCCATTCATTCGTCAAAGATTCTTTCCTTAAAAGACAACACCGACAAATATTTAACAATGATTATATATGGGTAGAGGTTAACAAACTTCTGATTTTAGGATAAACATTATGTGCACTATAAGTAAACATTTAAGGATTTGGGGGGATCGAAAACTAAGTCGGAGATATGGCAGAGGTATGTAATATATATAAGTGCTAATTACCTTCTTTATTCATTTAGGGAACCTAACATTTACAGTCCAGCCGTCGACAGGAATTGTTGAGGGCAGCAACTTTACAATGAGCTGCCGTTTGGATGCTGAGAATGCTACTCTCCTGTCGCAGTCAGAGGACTTCGAAATGGTCTGGATCCGAAACGATACCATGTTTGCGGTGACGTTTCAGAACGGAACGCTTTTGCTGGTTGATCCTGAGGAAGGAAACAGAACAGCAGTCGTCAGTCACTACGTCAGCGTCAACAGCAGTGAGCACATCGTCACACTGGTTGCAAGACCTCACCTGCAGTCCACGTGGTCCTGTCGCAATCATCTGGTAGATCAACCTAGCAACTCCTTCGACATCGTTATGGAGACTGGTAAGTGGATGTATGTGGGTGTGTGTGTGTGTGCGCGCGTGCGTGCGTGTGTGCATGCGTGCGTGCCTGCCTATATTAATCTTGACTAATGCCATTTCTATGGCCCACTAATATACTCTACCACAGTGTAAGACTACTTACTCCAAACTGGCAGAGAGCCGACCAATCGTCTTTGTTCTAATCTCTCAAAACCGACCGCCAAGAATTGCTATTTTGCTACTGCTGTTGGCATGACTCGACCAGTGATCGAACAATGAGCAGATGCTGCTTCACCATCAGACGCTCTACCCACCATCAGACGCTCTACCCACCATCAGACGCTCTACCCACCATCAGACGCTCTACCCACCATCAGACGCTGTATCAGCGGACGATCTACCCACCATCAGACGCTGTATCAGCGGACGATCTACCCACCATCAGACGCTGTATCAGGAGACGCTCTGTCCACAGCAGACCCTCTATCAGCAGACGCTCTATCCACCAGCAAACGCTCTATCCACCAGCAGACGATGTATCCATCACGAAACTCTCTATCAACCAGCAGACAATCTATCAGCAGACTCTCTATCAGCTGACGCTCTATCAGCAGACGCTCTATTTGCCGATATTCTATCAATCAGCAGACGCTCTATCAGCAGACGCTCTATTTGGCGGTGTTCTATCAACCAGCAGACGCTCTATTTGCCGATATTCTATCAACCAGCAGACAATCTATCAGCAAACTCTCTATCAGCTGACGCTCTATCACCAGACGCTCTATATGTCGATGTTCTATCAACCAGCAGACAATCTATCAGCAGACTCTCTATCAGCTGACGCTCTATCAGCAGACGCTCTATTTGCCGATATTCTATCAACCAGCAGACGCTCTATCAGCAGACGCTCTATTTGCCGATGTTCTATCAACCAGCAGACGCTCTATCAGCAGACACTCTATTTGCCGATGTTCTATCAACCAGCAGACGCTCTATCAGCAGACACTCTATTTGCCGATGTTCTATCAACCAGCAGATGCTCCATCAGCAGACGCTCTATTTGGCGATGTTCTATCAACCAGCAGACGCTCTATCAGCAGACGTTCTATTTGCCGATTTTCTATCAACCAGCAGACGCTCTATCAGCAGACACTCTATTTGCCGATGTTCTATCAACCAGCAGATGCTCCATCAGCAGACACTCTATTTGCCGATGTTCTATCAACCAGCAGACGCTCTATCAGCAGACGCTCTATCAGCAGATGTTCTACCTACCAGCAGACGTTCTATCCACCAGCAGACGCTCTATCCACCAGCAGACGATATATCCATCACTAGACTCTCTATCAACCAGCAGACTCTCTAACAGCCGATGTTCTATGAACCAGCAGACGTTCTATCAGCAGACGCTCTATCCACCAGCTGACGCTCTATCAGCAGACGCTCTATCCACCAGCTGACGTTCTATCAGCAGTCACTCTACCTATCAGCAAACGCTCTACCTACCAGCAGACAGCTCTATTAACCAGCAGACGTTCTACCTACCAGCAGACGCTCTATCCACCAGTAGAAGCTCTACCTACCAGCAGACGCTCTATTAACCAGCAGACGTTCTACCTACCAGCAGACGCTCTATTCACCAGTAGAAGCTCTATCAGCAGACGCTCCATCCTCCAGCATCTATAGACGACGCTCTGTCCGCCAGCAGGCGCTCTGTCATCCATGGGTAGAGGCAGTCTGGATGGGCATATATTCACCTGCACGGTGACGGTCACATAGCCCTCTAGTCTTTTTAACCTGGTATGTTTACACAAGATTCCATATTGATTAATTCGTTATTATATATAAATTTTCCGAATGTTGTTGTACTGATTGTTCTGTCTGTACTTAACGGAGAGAACCACAAGGTACCCTTACATGTACAACGAGAATGAATTACCCACCATCTTGATGATCTAACAGTCGGCGGTACCCAAACAAAATGGGACACATGTGTATAGCATTTACTTAACACAAGTTTTCAAACGTACGGGTCGCATACGCCAAGCACATCCGGGGTGTACATTTTACAATTTGGTTTAAAGTAACGTTGTTAGTCGGGTTTAAAATGCCATTTAAAATGTACAGTTCCTGCTGCATTCATATTCTTAAACCCTAAACCAAGTACTATACATGTATATCATAAGAAAAGGATTTAAGTCACAAGACACACTCTATCTGAAACGAATTATAGAATATTATGAATATGCCTTTACATTCCTTTAAAAATCCAACATATGGTTATCAAATATAATTATCGATATCTATGACATGAATATTCATCACCTATAATTAGTAATTTGTTTTGGTTTTATCCAGGTGCTCCTGTTACCACGGTGTCCCCTCTTGCAGGTAAGTTGGACTAGTTATGGGCGTGTACATACTAACATCTCTGTGTGAGCGTGCCATGCAGGAAGCAAATGGGGATCTAGTGAAATGGGCCGAAGGACAAAAGAGCCGAGAAGTGCCAAGTCAAATGGGCCGATGGAAAAAGTCAAATGGGCCGTGGTGAAAGTCAAATGGGCCGTGAAGAAATTGTCAATAGGGCCTTATTCTTTGTCATATGGGCCGAACAAACAAAAGTTTTACAAATGCTTTTCATTCTTTATTGACATATATAGCATTAAAACATAATAACAATAATAAAATGGTAACTGCCAAGCATGTCTTTGCACTTAATGGCAGTACATATATACATTTCTTAAGACTGGCTTCTTTGTGAAGAGTGGGAATCAACTTGTACAGGCCAAATTGTTGATCTGATGTCCTTACATTCATCCAGCGATGCCAACCTAAAATTTAAAGAATATTGCAGCCTCCTTCGCCTATGACAACAAGGTTAATTGATCTAATGAAGAATCAATTCGATTCGTAATTATAAATATCACCATTAACAATTAAGGAAGTTCAATTAACAGTTCGTTAACAGTTATGGTCCAAGCAAATGTGCTGTCCCCATAGTCTCTAGTCTGGTGATTTACCATCAGTTGTTGGCGATCTATAGCCTGTTTATATATTGTATTGTCATTTATAGTTAAGATATTTTAGATTTAATGACTAGTTTTAAATTTATATACATGTATGTGATAATCAAGTAACGTGCTTTACTGTCATTCGTTGACATGTTTTTAATATCTACTTTCAGTTACTATAAATCTATAATTTGATTTAGTCACGATATGCCTGAAATATTGACTTAAAATTTTAACTCACTCGCTCACTTACTCACTCACTCACTGGGCGCGTGTGTGTATGCCTCTGCGTGTATGTTATTCTGTGTGTATGCGTGCTCGCGTTCGTGTCTGTGTGTGTTTGTATGTGTCAGTATGTGTCTGTCTGTTTCTCCCACGTGTGTGTACGTGCATGCTTTCCTGCACGCCTGCGTGTGTGCGTGCGTGCGTGCGTGTCCCCCGTATATACATTTTCCTGTTAGTCCTGTGCAGCGTGGTGGCAACGTGAGGATTCCCAGTCTGTGCCACTGTGAAGACAGTTCGGCTTTCTCATGCTCATATAGATCCACTGTGTCGAACCATTTGATAAGTTGTTTTCTGACATGATCGATAGTGACCATGACGACAAAACGTTTCTCACCAAATGAATTTCAGATGTTTTAGGCGGTGGGGCAGCCTCTTAATAAAATCGTTCGCTTGTCACGTACAACGTGTGAAGCCCATTTCGGCTGTCTCCCAGCTGAAAGGGGACGTAAAACAATACTCCTTCACTCATTCGCAACATGTTTTGTCGTGACAACGCCCTTAACGGCAGCGTCAAAGTAAACAACGACGATCAGCAAATGATGACATAGACAGTTACATTGATCAATCAAAATACCAGTGGTTATAACCTACCGACATATATAACGTCGTGTTACAGACTCACCTGATACCGACATATATAACACCGTGATATAGGCTCATCTGATACCGACATATATAACATCGTGTTACAGACTCACCTGTTACCGACATATATAACATCGTGTTACAGGCTCACCTGATGCCGACATATATAACATCGTGTTACAGGCTCACCTGATGCCGACATATATAACATTGTGTTGCGGGGTCACCTGATACCGACATATATATCATCGTGTTACAGGCTCACCTGATGCCGACATATATAACATCGAGTTACAGACTCACCTGTTACCGACATATATAACATCGTGTTACAGGGTCACCTGAGACGAACATATATGACATCGTGTTACAGGCTCAACTGATACCGAAATAGATAACATCGTGTTACAGGCTCACCTCATACTAACAGATATGACATCGTGTTACAGGGTCTCCTGATACGAACATATATGACATCTTGTTACAGTGTCTCCTGATACGAACATATATGACTTCGGGTTACAGGGTCTCCTGATACGAACATATATGACATCGTGTTACAGGGTCTTCTGATACCGACATATTTACCATCGTGTTACAGGCTCACTTGATACCAAAATAGATAACATCGTGTTGCAGGGTCACCTGATACCGACATATATAACATCGTGTTACAGGGTCACCTGATGCATACATATATGACATCGTGTTACAGGGTATCCTGATACCGACATATATAACATCATGTTACAGGTTCACCTAATGATAATATATATACCATCGTATTACAGGCTCAACTGATACGACATATATAACATTGTGTTACAGGGTCTCCTGATACCGACATATATAACATTGTGTTACAGGGTCACCTGATACCGACATATATGACATCGTGTTACATTTTCAACTGATACTAAGATATATAACATCGTGTTACAGACTCACCTGACACTAAGATATATAACATTGTGTTGCAGGCACACCTGATACCGACATATATGACATCGTGTTACATTTTCACCTGATACTAACATATATAACATCGTGTTACAGACTCACCTGACACTAAGATATATAACATTGTGTTGCAGGCACACCTGATACCAACATATATGACATCGTGTTACATTTTCACCGGATACCGACATATATAACATCGTGTTACAGACTCACCTGACACTAAGATATATAACATTGTGTTGCAGGCACACCTGATACCAACATATATGACATCGTGTTACATTTTCACCTGATACTAACATATATAACATTGTGTTGCAGGCTCACCTGATACCGACATATATAACATCGAGTTACAGGCTCATCTGTTTCCGACATTTATAACATTGTGTTACTAACTCACCTGTTACCGACATATATAACATCGTGTTACAGACTCACCTAAAACAGACATATATAACAACGTGTTACAGGGTCACGTGTTACCGACATATATAACATCGTGTTGCATGCTCACCTGATACCGAAATAGATAACATCGTGTTACAGGCTCACCTCATACTGACATATGTAACATCGTGTTACAGGGTCACTTGAGACGAACATATATGACATCGTGTTACAGGCTTACCTGATACCGACATATATAACATCGTGTTACAGGCTCACCTGATGCCGACATATATAACATCGTATTACAGGCTCACCTGATGCTAACATATATAACATCAAGTTACAGACTCACCTGAAACAGACATATATAACAACGTGTTACAGGGTCACCTGTTACCGACATATATAACATCGTGTTGCAGGCTCACCTGATACCGATATATATAACATCGTATTACAGGCTCACCTGATGCCGACATATATAACATCGAGTTACAGACTCACCTGTTACCGACATATATAACATCGTGTTGCAGGGTCACCTCATACCGACATATATAACATCGTGTTGCAGGCTCACCTGATGCTAACATATATAACATCGTATTACAGGCTCACCTGATGCTAACATATATAACATCAAGTTACAGACTCAACTGTTACTGACATATATAACATCGTGTTGCAGGCTCACCTGATACCGACATATATAACATCGAGTTACACGCTCACCTGATACCGAAATAGATAACAACGTGTTACAGGGTCACCCGTTACCGACATATATAACATCGTGTTGCATGCTCACCTGATACCGAAATAAATAACATCGTGTTACAGGCTCACCTCATACTGACATATGTAACATCGTGTTATAGGGTCACCTGAGACGAACATATATGACATCGTGTTACAGGCTCACCTGATACCGACATATATAACATCGTGTTACAGGCTCACCTGATGCCGACATATATAACATCGTATTACAGCCTCACCTGATGCTAACATATATAACATCAAGTTATAGACTCACCTGAAACAGACATATATAACAACGTGTTACAGGGTCACCTGTTACCGACATATATAACATCGTGTTGCAGGGTCACCTGATACCGACATATATAACATCGTGTTAGAGGCTCACCTGATGCCGACATATATAACATCGTATTACAGGCTCACCTGTTGCTAACATATATAACATCAAGTTACAGACTCACCTGAAACAGACATATATAACAACGTGTTACAGGGTCACCTGATACCGACATATATAACATCGTGTTGCAGGGTCACCTGATACCGACATATATAACATCGTATTACAGACTCACCTGTTACCGACATATATAACATCTTGTGGCAGGATCACCTCATACCGACATATATAACATCGTGTTACAGGCTCACCTGATGCCGACATATATAACATCGTATTACAGGCTCACCTGATGCTAACATATATAACATCGAGTTACAGACTCACCTGTTACCGACATATATAACATCTTGTGGCAGGATCACCTCATACCGACATATATAACATCGTGTTGCAGGCTCACCTGATACCGACATATATAACATCGAGTTACAGGCTCACCTGATACCGAAAAAGATAACATCGTGTTACAGGCTCACCTCATACTGACATATGTAACATCGTGTTACAGGGTCACCTGATACGAACATATATAACATCGTGTTACAGGATCACCTGATACCGACATATATAACAACGTGTTACAGGTTCACCTGTTACCGACATATATAACATCGTGTTGCAGGCTCACCTGATGCTAACATATATAACATCGTGTTATAGGCTCACCTGATACTAACATATATAACATCGTGTTATAGGCTCACCTGATGCTAACATATATAACATCGTGTTATAGGCTCACCTGATACTAACATATATAACATCGTGTTATAGGCTCACTTGATGCCCACATATATAACATCGAGATACAGACTCACCTGTTATCGACATATATAACATCGTGTTACAGACACACCTGACACTAAGATATATAACATTGTGTTACAGGCACACCTGATGCCAACATATATGACATCGTGTTACATTTTCACCTGATACTAACATATATAACATCGTGTTATAGGCTCACTTGATACAAAAATGGA